TCCAAGAAGAGGCAGGGATAACTTGCGGACAGAATGAGGGGGCGAAATCTGAATAGAACGAGGGTCACAGAAGGTTTTATAGAAGGATCCTCGACTAAACTCTCGAACAAGGAAAAATCGAAACTGGGATTGAACCGTAATTCGGTGCTGTCCAACATAAGCTTCGTTATATTATCTTCACTACTGCAGTACTTCTTTTCATGTGATTAGTATTATTTAAAAATGTCGCCTATGTTATATATACAACGGGGTAGAATTGTTAATTGCATCAAAGCAATGGTTATAATAATAACGTTGATACGACATTTTTAAACATTTCGACCACATAATTCTAAATAAGGTCGTCTCTATCCATCCAATTTCGTATTAAATCGAATCTTTTGTTCACCCTGATGATTGTTCTAATTTGGTCCAACGTACTCGATCTTTGCTACTACAGTACTTTAAAATTTTATTAATCGTTGCACATATTAATATTTCCAATACACGTAGATGACTGATATTGCTGCATGATAGAGTTACAATCCGGAATAATGCTTACTGTACTACGTTCAACTCGAAATTTTTTAATTTTAACTTAACTTAGATACAATTCATTCATTCGTCGAATCTTCACGAACCTATTACATCCAATGTTTTTGTTTACACGAAGTCTTAAGTTGCACGTAGTATTCTAACTGTAAATAATATGTTGACTCTCTCTTTAGTATCAGTTACCCGGTGACAATCGTTGTTACAAGCGAAGGGAGTTGAATCTCGTGCAACGAATCGATTTGGCTATGCTTTTTCTAATTCTACAAAAAAGTATTTCGAGGCATTTCCAGAAACGTTGGCGACACAAAATTCTTGTTAAGAACGCTGTAATAGCTTTCGACAATAAGCACCTAAGCGCAGTAAAAATGTCAAGCTGCAGACACTGGAAACTTTATCGATGATGCAAGTTTCGCTGGCACGGATTTGCGCTTCCTGAAATTCGAAATACGCGATCTATTATCTCGAGATGTGTTTTCGTGCGTGGTATTTTCGCGTTGGTGTGCGATTTACGCGCCAACGATCGCGAAGGAAAGTTTTTCAATTTCTTAATTCAAATCCCTGACATTCGTGGCGGAGTATGAGAATATTCTTTCGGGGGCTAGAAACAATTATTTTAAACGAGTTACTGTATCTTTTTTTATCTTCCATTTTCAAGTATCGAGGCATAAGCGCTTCTCATTATTTTTTCTCATTACGGTCGAGCAGTTTCTTTAATATTAATTTACAGAAACGTGCTTAACCGTGGTTTCTTCGTCTCTCGTTTATCTTCTTCATCAACCTAACCACTTTGCGTCATTGGTCATAAATTAAAATAATTACTGGCCACAGAAAATCTCGTGACTATTACTTCAACGTTCGTGTTAGATAATATCGAATATTCTTCCACTATTATTCGATATCGTTTAGTAGAATATTAGAGATCGATTATCTGCTATTTGTAATGCAGACGTTTGGGACAGTCGCAGAAAGTGTAGTTCTAGGCTAAATGCGTAGCATTTCTTGGAATTATTATCATTCCAATCTCCTCAGTACCAGTAGATCAAAATTTTATCTTGATTTATCGTGTATTGCTCATAACGACCACAATGATCTCAACGTTTAGGCAAATATTTAGGCAGAGATTCAGTTTTTCCACGGCTGATTACCGTAATTTATAATCGTAATTCGCGTTTTTCTCATTCAAGGTTGCCGATCGTCGACGAGACAATCGCCGCGCGAAGTGTTGACATTATTACTGCCCGTGGAGAATATTTGCCAGAAATTGTGTTGCCGGAAGTTCTAATTCTGCCCCTGTCTAAACAGACCTTTTGCCAAACGCGAGTGCGCGTCGTATTCGCTAAACACGTTGCGCCATGCACTTTTTCCATCGACGGTCCCGACGAAACAGGAAACGAAAATCGTCGCGCGACACGACCGTCGAATCGGAAACAACGAAAGCAAAGAAACGAGAAAATAATAACAAGAAAAGCTGCGAGAGCGAAAGACTGATCGATCCTTTGCGATTCTTCGATCGATTTCCTCTTACGACTCGGCGAACGGGGAACGTTGGGCAGCAGGGAGGAAATCGAAGGAACTTGAGAAATGCATGAAAGTATCAGTAAACGATCCAGTGACGAAGTTTTGGCCAATGCGACTATTCAGATAATTAACGACGTCGATAAGTCGGGAAAATACAGTACCCAAATTGCGCTCCGGTGGTCCAAGTTGGAGAAACCAAAAAGTAATCGTCCTCTAGATAATAAAATTTTACATTTTATTATTATAATTAAAGAGAAGAACTTTTAGAAGCAATCTCTCAGAGCATATTTAATCCTTGTTTACGTTTTTCTAACGATCTATAATTTGAAGATAGTAACGATCGAGCAAGCGAGAAGTAATTTTAAGCGAACTGTCTTTTTGGTTTCGAAAACGAAACATTGCTTACCCGGTGTCCTCGAAGCTCTGCAAATAAATCACGCCTACAGCAACGTTCAAACGCATGGCGTGAAGAAAGATGGTCAAGGCCGCGTCGCTAAATCCATTTCATTCGCGAGATCTCGCATCGTAGTCAAGTGTCATCGAGCAGTTCATTCACTGTCAGTTCCATTTCCTCTACTCTAAGAATTAATGCTTGTTACGAGTGTCCAGCTTTCTCGCCTGATCGAAACGCGTGGTTCGCGTTTGCGAGTCATGTCCTTATCGCGCATCGAGCTCGTTCGGTGCAACGTTTGATTCACAAGCGAGCGTAAAGCGGCGTAGTCGGAACGTTTCTCTGTTTCTTGCTAAATCACTTTTCTCTGAATCACCATTTGGAGAAATTACGAACGGTATCATAGAGGTACAGATAACACGAAAGATTATTAGCTCTGAAATATCGTAATTTGACGACCATATAAAGATCGACCAAGTTAATATTAATCCTTTCTGGATTTTTTTCAATAATATCGCGAAACGAGGCGATAATGAAAGAATATACGTTTTAAAAACATTTTAAAAATCGTTTAGGTCTGTTTGAGTCACATTGTATTTCGGTTCAGATAACGTTGCATCATTTTGGCGCAGAAGTTTATTACGCAAACTTTCAGTGTAAAATTTCAACACTTTGTGCCATACATTTTCTGTTGTTTCCGGATTACATATGTATTTGAAGAACACATTATTCTTACTTAAAGGATGAGCTTCGATAAATAAATGGTTTTTGTATATTCAAATTGGAAAAAGGAAATTGAATTTGTAAAATATCTTAACGAAACTTTACTACAGTATTCTATAAATCCTTGGCGATTAAATATTTATAGATTCTGTAGCCTTGATTATACGGATTAATTCATTCAATATATGTAAATAATTACAATTTGAAGCGAATCGCGGGTCTCCGATACGTAGAAAATTATGCAAACTAGTTTAAACAGAGTAACGATAGCAATGATAGGCAAAATTCTTATCTAGATATAAATTTCGAATAATGAATAAAAGATAAGCAAGTTTTATCCATGTCTCGTTGAATAAAAAATTATACGTTGATTTTATTGATTATCTATTATTTAAGTCCTTGAAAGTAAGCACAGTGTAAGAAAATGAAATTAAAAAGTTACAAGAGCTGTATTTTCGTGTTCCTCCATTTTGGTACCATACTTTAACTCTTAGACGACCACGCGAGGTCCATCAGGGACTCACTAATTATATTAACATCTCATGTTTGCAATTTTAGATAATCTCTAACATTATGGCGTGGTCACATGCTTGTAAGTTATCTTAAAACTACTGAAATAAAATAATTTATGCTTGGAATCTGTTAAAGATCCCACATGGTGCTTCTCCTATTTAAAACATCCTGGCACGAACAAGCAAAAATATAAATTATTCATTTAGAAGACAAATTAAGTAGATACGTGTATTCCCAGTTATTTATAAAACACAGAAGAATTTGTGTATTTTCTACTACTATTAGTTAATGTTGATTAACTAGTAGAAGCATTAGCATCGACATTTGCCAAATCTTAGTCTTCATTGAGTACTTTATGTAGAAAAGAATCGTGTGATCGTCTAAAGGTTAAAAAACAGTTTCTGAAAACGATTATGAACAAAAGTAAAACATACAGAGAAGTAAGAATATAAAATAGTCGATTGAACGCCCGACCACGCTGCTTCGCAAGCTTTAACGTGCCTCTTTACTTTAAACCGACCGTGCTGGGATTTGAAGCGCCTCGAATCAGCTCGAAAAAATTCGTATCGATTCAAATATGATTCGAAGTTTAAAAGTCTTGAAAGTTCTAAGTATCGAAGGTCTAATCTGCGAAAGAATCTTCTCGAAAGCAGGAAGCATTCTCAGTAATAAAAGAAATAAATTGAAAAATACTAAAATATATTAAATTGAAGTACAAAGTTCTGTTTTTCGCAAACATCGTTCCCATTTAATTTTCCTTCTACTCCAATTTACTATATATTACTGACTTCGAGTACAGCACAAATTAATTTGTCTATGAACCGATTCTATGATACGGAAACTATCCAAACCTATCGATACCTTCAAGATTCAAGATACTCAAAACTTATCGAGACTTGCAAGGGTTCCAAAAGCATCCACGCTCGAATCGATTCGAATCATCGTAGTCACGGAAGCTTCGAACCATTCGAAACCCAAGAATTCGAACAGCCTATCGCCAGCTACGACACTTCGATCCTCCCTGTTCTCCGCTTCCCCCCGCGTGGCGTGCATGCGTTGCGATAAAGAAAGCTAAATCTCCTACGAACCCCGGTCACTCTCTTCTTTCCCTCACGAACGTAATTCGAGGGTGTTTACAATACAATACGACGCGTCGTGTACCGTGTCGTACGGAGTCAGAGATCCCCACGCAAAACACTATATACTCACGTGCTCACTATACCGCGCGCTCTCAGAATTATTATATATAATATTTATAAATATATATATCCCTCTCGAAGATCACCGAAGGGACAACGCATTAACGACGTCGGTTTTGCAGATACAAGTGCGAGAAAAATGAGGTACCGATTACCGTCACGAACGGCTCGACGTTGCCGCTCGTGGAACGACCCAACGACGAGGAGTCGGCCCTCTACAATCCGTTCGAGCACAGGAAGCTCGCCCATCCGACCTCTGACCTCGACACCCTGATCCATCTGCTCAAGGGCAGCCTGGGGACCGGCATTCTGGCGATGCCGATGGCCTTCCGCAACGCTGGTCTGCTATTCGGTCTGTTCGCCACCTTCTTCATCGGGGCTGTTTGCACCTACTGCGTCCACATACTGGTCAAGTGCGCCCACGAACTCTGCAGGCGGATGCAGACACCTAGTCTGGGGTTCGCGGACGTCGCCGAGGCGGCCTTCCTCGTCGGCCCCGAGCCGGTGCAGAAATACGCTCGGCTAGCAAAGTAAGTTACCTTCTAACTAAAATTTTTCTCATGGAAAATGGTACATTTCAAGCTCTTAAGTGATTATTCTTAATATGTACGCGTGATTCGTAAGTTGAACGTTTGTTTATCTTTACCAATGTGAGAGATACCCCATGGGAGAACCGGCGAAGTGACCGAAAGACGTTTTAAAATCGATACAGTAGTGATTCTTGAAATGAACCCAGGTGTGATTCGTAAATTGAACATTTGTTATCCTTCTCAACTTAAGGAATCCTCGTTGGAGCCAGTAAAACGCGAAAGATGACATTTCAAAGTCGATACAGTAATGATTCTTGAAATGAACCCACGTGTGATTCGTAAATTGAACATTTATTATCCTCCTAAACTTAAGGGGCCTTTCTACCTTGTGGGATTAAAAAAATCGATATTTTTTTTTTTGCATTTTCCTTTAGTATGTAGTCTCGAAAATATGTCTACCAAATATTGAATTGAAATTTGAAAAACTAACGAAGTTATAGCCTGCTGAAATGTACCGCGCGCAGGTATAACAACTGGACGTGAAACTTTAAAGCTGTTTTTCTCGAAACTACATTTTTCGGCACTGCGTGCGTGATAACTAAAAAACTATTCAAGATATCAACATCAAATTTATACAGTATCTTCAGAACTGGTCTCCCTATAGCATGAACTAGGATAATTGCGATATATGCAATACTTTTTCTTTTATTAACATAAAAGCAACCAAATATATGAAAATATTCAGTATTTTTTCGTAAAATAGCTGCCATTTTGCCATTTTTTGTTTTTTTGAAAAGATCCTAGTTCATGCTATAACCACACTCATCTATATTAAGAATATCGTTGGTTTTAGGATTTCGAATAACTTGTTCGCAAGATATCACGTACGCAGTCGGGTGCCGTTCGTAAAAACTGTTGTTTGATGATCAACAAAAACAGCGTAATCAATAGATATTATGCGTTGCAAAAATTCGTAAATATAGCTAAATATATAATAAATGTATCTACAAAATCCGGAATTAATCGCTCTTTAATAACCCGCAAAAAAAAATCACAAAGGAACACGTATTTTTCATGCCTACAAGGTAGAATGGCCCCTTAAGGGATCTTCGTTGAAGCCAGCGAAGCGTGAAAGATAACATTTAAAAATTAACACAGTAATGATTCTTGAAATGAACCCAGGTGTGATTCGTAAATTGAACAATTGTTATCCTCTTAAACTTAAGGGATCTTCGTTGGAGCCAGTAAAACGCGAAAGATGACATTTAAAAGTCGGTACAGTAATGATTCTTGAAATGAACCCACGTGTGATTCGTAAATTGAACACTTGTTATCCTTCTCAATTTAAGGAATCCTCGTTGGAGCCAGTAAAACGCGAAAGATGACATTTAAAAGTCGATACAGTAATGATTCTTAAAATGAACCCATGTGTGATTCGTAAATTGAACATTTGTTATTCTTCTCAACTTGAGAATCTTCCTCTAAGTCAATGACGTGTGAAACATAATATTTAAAAATGGATACAGTAATGATTCTTAAAATGAACTTCAGAGGTGATTCATTAGTTGATCATTTCAATTCCTTCCAACAGACAAGGACGACTTCGAGGTTTAATCTGTTGGTGTCAAATTTCGTCTCCGCTGTACGAAAGATGTGTTGTTCATTTTAAGAATCATTACTGTATTTAGTTAAAGTTCTTTAGTCTTCATATGGGTTATAATACAGGTGTTATGCAACAGTTATACGTAAAATGTTATAAAACAAAGAAAAATTTAACAATAGTTAATCCAAGAACCAGTTAACTAAGATATCTACGACCAAAATATAAAAATCAACTTAGATAGAATCCATGCGAAGCTCGAGAGGGAAATCACTTCTGAGATAGTACATAATCGACTTTCGATCCGAGACATAAAACACTCGAGTTACTAAACGTATTCACGCAACATACACCTGCGAGTTTATTAATACCAGTTGTCATTATGTTATATTTTATCTGTTAAACCACCCATTTGAATCGGTAGCACGTTGTCAGTCTGACGCAAGACATTCCGATAAGTTTCACAGCCGCGCGTAAGCGAGATTTACGATCGCTTAAAGCTCCTTTGAATCACGGTGTAAAGTACATCCTCGATTTAACAAATTTTCAATCTAATGGAAAGTATTCAACGATACTACGTCGATACATCCCCAAGTTACATTCTTTCCCTGATATTTCTAAATTCTCCTCTCGAACTGCTTAAAGTTCAGATTCAGTGATAAGAATGTTCTATATACCATAAATTAATTTACTAGCATTATTACTCTATATTAGTAATCTATACACAGATATTTTTGAGGTACCTCTCATCTTGAACAAAGTTTTTTTAAATATCAAATTGTAATCAGCTCCTGATGGATGGTGAGACTGCAGCAAAGAGTAATCAATATTTTTGTAACGTTTCAGGGCAACCATCAACTCGTTCCTCGTGATCGACTTGATAGGTTGTTGCTGCGTGTACATAGTCTTCATCTCGACCAACGTGAAGGAGGTGGTCGATTATTACTCGGAGTCTAATCACGATGTACGGATTTATATGGCGGCTTTGTTGCCATTGTTGGTCGTTTTCTCCCTGGTGAGGAACCTGAAGTATCTGGCGCCATTTTCCATGGTCGCGAACGTTCTGATCGCCACCGGGATGGGCATCACCTTTTACTACATCTTCAGTGATCTACCGAGCATCAGCGATCTACCAAACTTTTCGAGCTGGTCTCAGTTGCCTCTGTTCTTCGGCACCGCCATCTTTGCTCTGGAAGGCATCGGTGTTGTAAGTACTACACGTTACGCGTCTTAGCGCTCGGTTCGTTCGTCTTTCTGCTTTTTTCGGATCGTTTCGTTCGTATTCCAGTCGACGATCGTGGACGTAGCGCATTGGATCGTGTTTAGTATTTCGATCGTGCGATTTAGCGAGAGAACGTTAGACGCTGGATCGAAAATTCCGACCCACGACCCTGGCGAAATCGACTCTTCGACGTTTTTTTGCATTCCTCTTACCTCGATACATGTTCAGTTCTGTTTTAAACTGGCGGACATAAATTTTAAATTTTTCGTTTTCAACTTGAAAATTAATTGTTTTACTTTCAGAGTGAAAAGTTCTATCGATCGTATATGGATGACAGTCAAAGTCAAAATATGCACTAAATATGCAGTATATTTTGTAACGTATAAAACTAAAATTAAATAATTGATCGCTAGAGGAGACATTTTGCAAATTGATCAAACGCAGTATGTACTTCGTATTTTCTTGAAAAGAAGAGGTTGACTTCGCGAATTGAATCGATTATTTATTAATAGTCTTCTTCCCTCTAAAATTGAATCGCACATTATCGTGTTTCGAAATTAATCAGTATGTAAATTCGAAAATGTGTAATTATTCTTTTTATGAAGTTCACGTTATTTTTAAATCGATAAAACGTACAACAGCAACGACGGTACTCCGTGTATCGGTTGCCATGCTAACCGTGATAGCCGTAGAAAAGTTTAATGTCATAGACGCGAGGTATTACGTAACCGGATGAAGCAGGAAACGAAACGAACCACGGATAATCCTTTCCTCGAATTTATACACGACTAATGCGTTTTACAAGTACTATCAATAAAATATGAAATCAGAAATATCGCAAAGTATGTAATACGCGGAAGACCTTTGGAAATATTTTTGAGCAGCACGAACTTCGATCATCTTTTAATTGAGCCTTCCTGTTTCTGGCGCCAATTAGCCGATCTATTCTTATGTAAAATTCTATTGCGATTGTATTAGTGCGGTTGAAATTGGCACTTTTGTACTGGTCCATTTTAAAACATGACATATTTGACACTCATTGTCAGACGTGTCGTCAGTATTAATACCTATCAATTATTTCTAGCTTGATTACCTCGTTTGAAAACTATTTCTTGTCAACCGTATTAGAAACCATACTGTTTGTCATTCTTATTGATTTATTTTTCTGTACTGTATTATATGTATACTCAAATAGGGTTACCCGTTCAATAAATTATCATCATCGTTGGCACCAGAATATATGCGAGGTATAAATGAGAATTACAAAATGTGAAACTTGCTTACTTTTTGTTTTGTATTAATGGGACCATTCCTAATATATTTGTGAGGTTTTCCTGATTAAAATAATACCAAACATGATACAGTAGAGTTCTGACTATTCTTAGGTAAATGTTACGGATTATATTTCACACAAAAAAAGAATTCACAGCCGCATCCATCCGGCAGTGACATCGATATTAAACAGATGACAAATAAAGCGTAGGAATTTTTATTAAAAAATTGTATTACTACATTATCCATGGTTGTGCTTAGTAAAGATAAACACAAATTTTCAAGAAAAATCGACAGGGGGCACGTACAGATAGTCGACAAAATTAAAAAATTCCAAATTGTTCTGAGAAAATTATTTTTAGTTGCGGGGGTCAAGTACAATCATTTTCGGCCATTAGACATACACTCGAATTCCTACGCACTTTTGAGAAAAAAATTCCTTACTGAAAATCTAATTAGGTGCCATTTTTCAACGAAAAAAAAAAATGTCAGATCGTTCTGGAAAAATTATTTTTGTTTGCAGGGATCAATTACAATCATTTTTGGTCAATAGACATATCCTCGAAATCCTACCCACTTTTGAGACAAAAAATCTTTACCGAAAATATAATGGGTGGCCAGAAATTTTTCTGTAATTTCATTTTCTGTCTCACTTCCTCTTGTGTTCATTTCTGTAATCTGTTGGTAATGTTATGAATGACATAACAAAATGGGAGAACCCTAGAACCCTAGAAAAATGAGCCGAAAAAATACGTTGGATGTAAGGTCTTCTCGTATACCTCGTCTGTGATTATATTCCTCGTTTTTATCAGTTTATATGTAGGTATAGTTCAGTAGGAATTTTACTGTATAACTTGAATCGTATTTGCGTATTTAATGAGGACGTATTTAATCGTTTACACGATCTTATACTCTATTAGGAGTAGATTAAAAACAAATTATATCGTGTTTGGACTTATTTTAATCAGTAAACACTCACAAATACATTGGTAAAAATTTCGTTAAAAAAAAACACAAAGATAAAAAAGTTTCATATATGCATTACGTAGTATTGTCTCGCCCATATTCGTGTTCAGATTAGGTTACACTACGCAGTGTATCAAGGAGAGTCATAGCATCCCCAATGCCAGTAACGTTATTAAAAATCTTCCAAATATTACAGTTAGTTTTTTGTAAATATCTCAAAGAAACTTTCAAAGCGGCGGACACCGGTGACCACCGTACCATCCACTTCCTTGAGAATTATTTCCGGTTCGCGGAAGCTTCATTTAGCTTCAACCAGCATTCTTTAACCATCGAAATTCCTATGTTTCCAGGTGATGCCTCTGGAGAACAACATGAAGACCCCCACGCACTTCATCGGTTGCCCCGGGGTCCTGAACACCGGCATGTTCTTCGTGGTGCTGTTGTACAGCACCGTCGGTTTCTTCGGTTACTGGCGATACGGTGAGAACACGCAGGCTTCGATCACACTGAACCCTGAGCAAGACGAGATCCTGGCCCAGGCGGCGAAGCTCATGATCGCCGTCGCCATTTTCCTCACCTACGGTTTGCAATTCTACGTACCCATGGAGATCATTTGGAAGAACGCGAAGCAATACTTCGGCTCGCGTAAGCTGATCGCCGAGTACGGGATCCGTATATGCCTGGTGATCTTCACCGTGGGCGTGGCGATCGCCATTCCGAATCTGGGCCCGTTCATATCGTTGGTGGGTGCCGTTTGTCTGTCCACGTTGGGCCTGATGTTCCCGTCCGTGATCGAACTCGTCACCGTTTGGGATCAAGAGAACGGTCTCGGCGCTTTTTATTGGAGACTCTGGAAGAACCTGGCGATCATCTCGTTCGGCGTGTTGGGCTTCCTGACCGGCACCTACGTGAGCATCCAGGAGATCCTCGAGGAGAAGAAATGAAGCGCCGGGTTCGAAGGAGCTGCGGTGCGACGGAATAATCGCTCAGCGCGTACCACAGATGCCGGCGTGTTCGACACCTTCCGCGCTCCACGGGAGCGGGCTCGTCGAACGACCAGGACGACGACGACTAGGACGGTGGGATATGCCGCCGCCGCCGCTGGAGCATCCAGGACGAGTTACGCGGCCACGCGAGCTCCGAACTACTAGCTTCGTCTCGCTGCTTCTCTTTCCACATCGGTAGTACGACGACCGTACCGACGACGAAGACGTCGCGTAGATGGGCCTTACCCCCCTATAAAACAGCCCACATTGAGTTTTTCATACTATCCTTTTCGTTCTTTTTCTTCTTTTATAAATCGTAGACAGAGAGTTAGTCGTTACGCGTGGAAAGGTGTTCGTGTATCCGAACTATTGTATCCGTGAACGTCCGCTTTCCTTCGTTCCGTAGTTCTAGGTACACAACTCCCACTCGTACTCCGTACAATGTTGATTCACTATAAACGAGAAAAACTTGTTTCTTACGAATGAGTCCATTTCTTCGTGCATCAAATTAGAATCAAATCGACGGTCGTGCCACGTTGGAAACACCAGTGGAAGCTGCAGTTGGGGAACCGACCACGTTCTATCGGAATTATCGTTATTGTACACAGTTTATATTATACTTCTCTAACGGTTAATATTAAAAGAAAGAACGAAAAAAAAACTAAACACAGTGTAATAAAAAGAACATTTGATAAAAATAAATGGAGAACATTCATAAGAGACAAGTTTCTTTTCATTTATAGCGAATCACCGCTATAGTGTACGAATACGAGTGGGAGTAACAGTACGTACGCGTAATAGATGATACACGAGTAGTACAGTTATCCGTTTTTCTTAGCGTTTGCATTAGTCATCCGGCGGGACAATTGCAAAACTGTCCACGGACGTCATTCCGTTTCTAAACCACTTGTACACGAACTCCTTTCGACGTAGCTTCGTTTTTTCCCCGCAAACTCGTGTAACCGAAATATGTATCGTATAGAAGAATAACGGGCTTGACGTATGCGTTTAGAGATGCATCGATCGATCTTCGCCGATCTGCGTCAGAGTCGTCGCTGCTGACGTCGCGCCGTACAACGCCGTACGCCATAACGCGCGGTAAGAATCATTAATGTCTGCGTTCCACTTTGATCCGGTGCTCCAAACGGTCACTTACATTTCACGGAGCAAATAGATCCCGGAAGTCGATCGATTATCGGAGATCCAGTGAACCAGTTCGTACGCTGAATATTTTATCCTCCGGTTAATCTTGGTTTATATAGAGTCGATCGTGCAACTTATTCGCCCATATTATTTTTGTCACGAAGAGGAAATTACATGGTTTAGAGACAAACCATTTCAACCTCGATAAATTCTGATCTAAGGACGACGAGAAAATTTAAAGAAACTGTCACATTTTTTTTGATTGATAAGTAGAATCCTCGACGCGTTCGAATCTGTAGAACCTAATTTTTACGTGCGCGTCATTAATGAGCTTTATCGCGCGTCAGTGTACGTTGGAGCGATTAACCGAGCAAAAGTCAATGGCACAACATGGCTCGGAGTACCCCGGATGTTCAGAGACGAGTATTAAGGACGTGGATAGAGGCGCGCTCTTTTCCTCCCCTCCTCTTTTATTATTTATTCGCGTTGAACGAAGTTTTTTTTTTTCATCGATTTTTAACAAACTCTCACAACTGCGGGACGGTTTTTCTTTTCTAGTAGCTTGCGTACGCGTCGTACGGGTATAGATATGTAAATTATACTTAAGCGTCGTTTTTACCTACGAACAGAAGACCGTTCGCGTATATATATATATATATATTTTTTTTTTTTGCCTTAAAGTGTGTTCGTTCAAATTTGCCGCGACGAGAGAACGATTTGTAAGATAAAAGGTTTCGTCGGGCGATCGTCGGATCGATCGCGTGTGTACGTCAATCGTCGAAGAGAGATCTAATACGTGTTTGTCGATTGAAATTCAAGTCGAGATCGGGAGCCTTTTAAACTTGGGAATCGAATTGTCGGTGATGTAACCGTCGATGATATTCGCGATTGGACATATTCCGAGGATAACTTTGTTCCCTATCGGGCGAAGTGTTCTAGTTATTACGATACCCATTAACGCTTCGACCGCCATGTTGGTCAATCGACGGTGACGCTGCGATTTTTTTAATTGTAAGGCCCCGCGTGCTAAAGTTTTATCTTAGTAGTGTAATATTAGGACGAAACAAAGTGATATTTTTAGTTTTTAAAGGCAAGTTAAAACCACGAAGCTTGTAAAGTAATATTTATTAGATTAAACAAAATTTTCGTATTAAATATTTCGGATTTGTACTCGCTATTTATTGCAGAACATACGTTCACGGAGAGAACGCGTGCAGTTGAACGAATAACCAAAAGTTGGAAAACCAAGGGCTACCGTGTGATATCATGTTTTTTAAAGAATGGCCGTTCAAAATTACGCTGGAAATTGATCGAAAATGGCAACGGTGAATCATGAAAAATGTTAGGACGGCGGCCATCGCGAAATTAGCTTGGTGGTCGGCGCGTTAACGGACAGTTCGATTCTATTGTACGATATTGGATAAGCGTGAACGTTTAGTCTCCATCGACGTAATCGATCGACGTAACTCCGATGGAAACTGCCGATCTGTTCCTAGTGCCTTGTTGCACAAAACGAAAAAACGTACAAAAATGGTTACTAATTAAGGGTAAGAGGCAGAATGGTACGTAGGTGTGAGAATATCGTGATGCACCGCTTGCTAGTCTGTAAGGAGTTTTAGCGAGAGACACCGACGCGTCGTTGGCGTCAACGCGCGAGATTAAGAAGCTAATTGCATCTATAACCTGACACCGAGAAGGTCGATTCTGACGGATTTGACGTCGAGGGACGATAAAAGTGGGAGGGTGTCAAGGCCAATGTGCTCATCTAACGAAAATTTCTTATTTTTCTATCATCGAATCGCTTAGTTGGACGAACATTTCGCGGGACAATTACGGTAAACTGACGAAAAGAAAACGAAAGGAGAGAATAAACGAAGAGTCCAAAAGTCACGGAATAGTACAAAAAGAAAAAAAAGAAAAAATAAATAAGACTCGTACAATTGCTTTCTATTTAGTCGGATAATACGCAAAAATTTTTTAGCACAGCCTTCGTTGTTCTTAAAAAACTGTTTCTATCATTCCGAGGACGCGTGTTTTGTGATGTCAAAGCGCCCACACGCAGCGAGAAAAGTGCCGACCATTCGTTCAGACTATTTTCGATCGTTGTTCTGACGTGGAACCGCGCGTCACTACTATTTGTACAATTCGTTCTCGCTTCGAGACACCGGAATTTTAGTGCCTTGGTTCTCTTTCGTCTCACGAGAATCGTAAAGATTAAGACGGTGGCGTGTTGCATAGCGACGAACAGACGTACGATATCGTACGACCACGTTCGGAGGACAATAAACCCGGATGCACGGTAGTTATTGCCATTTTCGTCGTCGCCGTTGCAGACAAGCGTTTTAGAAAAAAAGTTTAGAAAAAGAAACTGCTCCTCGTCGGACCCCAGGAAACTGCTGAATTTCTGCCAAGCTTCATCCATGTTTCACCATACTTCTATACTCGTCCATTCTTTATCCATCGATGGTTTTTCTTTTTCACGTATCTACACGTATACACAGACACACGGACAGCCCAGACGAATAGTCTCTACCATATTGTACGATGACTTATATTTTTCGAACAAGACCTTCAGAAACGTGAGCCTCAATTTTTTGAGGTGTCGCAATTTGTGGAAATATACATGCCGTTTCGCTGCTTTTGTACTTCGGACTTCCATGATCGATCGCACATGCGCGTACTATGTGGCAATGGTTGCCGCGCAATGATATATCGTTTCACGTGCACGCTGTCAATTTGTCAGTCATTGTACCAAACAATGTTGCGATATTTAATACACGATGAATCGATTTTGCAAAAGTAACAACTTTGTCCTTTTCTGCCTAGTATCCTTCGTCCTAGATCAAATTTTAAATCGTCGTCCCTTGGAACTTATAAACTGACAATATTAATTAGTTATACTTTTTAAAAGCTAGAATAGAGTCTCTATTAATTTAAAACCCAGATTGATGGTTCAACCTATGAAATGGATCCAGGAAGATTGATGTAAGACTTGTTTCCACGAAGTTATAATAGTTTAAAGATTGAGAACGTTTCGAATAAGTTCTAATACTTATGATTGGCAGTGTATTACTTTCTTCTACTATACAGGGTGTTCTGCAACCCCTGGGAAAAATTTTAATAGGAGATCCTAGAGGCCAAAATAATCAATTTCTTGATTGAAGCTTCGTTAAAAAGTTATTAAAAAATTAAATCGAAAAGTTTGAAATCATTCTGGAAAAATTATTTTCGGTTGTGCGGGTCAGTTACAATCATATTTGGTGAATTCACATACCCCTGAAATCCTACCCACTTTCGAGAAAAAAATTCGAATAGATACTGAAATTTTTAGACGAAATAAAAAATTTCAAATCATACTAAAAAAATTATATTTAATTACAGGGGTCAGTTACAATTATATTTGGTGAATTCACATACCCCTGAAATCCTACCCACTTTCGAGAAAAAAATTCGAGTAGGTACAGAAATTTTTAGACGAAATTAAAAAATTTCAAATCATACTAAAAAAATTATATTTAATTACAGGGGTCAATTACAAGCATATTTGGTGAATAGACATACCCTGAAATCGTACACACTTTCAAGAAAAAAATTCATTGCCGAAAATTTAATATGCTTCCCTGAAATTCAATGCGAATCTTTAAAATGTCATAATTCCTGAGCGGATTGGAGGATTTTAATTTTTCAAAATGCAAACAACGCGTATTTTAGTGGAGAATATGTAGAAATTCTAACAATATTGAAAAAGTTGTTCCCTGACACCGTAAAGTGAGAAAAACCCTAAAACTGGTCCAATTTTCGAACGGCCATAACTCCTGCAATAGTGAATGTATTTTGTTGAAATTTATTTCTGATGTAGAGGTCATGGATATCTACAAAAAAAGTATTAGACAACATTTCCGTACAGCTTCAACCAAATTTACTAAAAATGGTAAACGAATTTTTAAGAAAAATCGACAGGAAGTAGGAGACCAAATTTTTCGACGAAAAAAAAATTTTCAAACCATTCTAAAAAAATTATTGTCGATTGCGAGGGTCAATTACAATCATTGTTGGTCATTAGACATACCTTCAAATTCCTACGCACTTTCGAGAAAAAAATTCGAGAAGGTGTGAAATTTTTCGACAAAATTAAAAAATTTCAAATCGTTCTGGAAAAATTATTTTTAGTTGCGGGGGACAAGTACAATCATTTTTGGTCATTAAACATACCCTCGAAATCCTACCCACTTTTGTGAAAAAAATTCGAGTAGGTGCCCAAATTTTTCGACGAAAACAAAATTTTCAAACCATTCTAAAAAAATTATTTTCGATTGCGAGGGTCAATTACAATTATTTTTGGTCATTAGGCATACCCCCGAAATCCTACGCACTTTCGAGAAAAAAATTCGTGAATGTGTGAAATTTTTTGACAAAATTAAAAAATTTCAAATCGTCCTGGAAAAATTATTTTTGGTCGCAGAGGTCAATTACAATAATTTTTGGTGAATAGAGCTACCCCCAAAATCCTACCCACTTTCTAGAAAAAAATTCAGTACAGGCGGAATTTTTAAACGTCAATAACTTTTTAACGAAGCCTCCATCAACAAATTAGTATTTTTGATTTTTGTCTTATTTTGGCCTCCAGAATCTCCCATTAAAATTTTTCCCAGGGGTGGCCGAACTCCCTGTATAGTATAACATCATTTTTAAAAATTTACGTATTTGTAAGTCGCGGGTTTCGAGCCAGTCAAGCTCGAATTAAATTAAAATTCCTGCCGCGTGCAGCGTTACTTTCGAAAAGTAGCGGATAGTACTCCTTCCTTTCTTATACCCTTTCACATTATACTTTTCGTTAAATGTATATAGAAAATGTTATATAGAACACCAATCAAATTAGGTAGAATAATAGAAATATTCTTCCAATCAATATTATTAAATATTCTGAAAACAATTACAATACAGTTAGTTATTACTAAATTATATCGTCTGAAATTGAATGAGCAATTAGGAAGCAAATATAATGCACCATATTTGTCCACGAAAATACGGTAGAAAGATATTTTGAAAGTATAAAGTATTCCTTGTACGTAAAATTCAAGAAAAATGCATTATTGTAATAATATTTTAATAAAATAGGGTTATCGTTTCTAAATTTCTATTTATAAATAATAGCACTCTGCTGCCTATGAACAGTTTAACTCTAACTCTTTAAGAACCAATGAAATTTAACTTTGGAAAGAGTCTCGCGCTTCGGAATACATTTAATAAAAATCACTTAGGTTTAAACGAACGAACGTAACCCTACGCTATTTCTAGTTAAATACCATTGCAAAAGTTTAAACGATCCAACAGATGCATGGAAACGAATCTTGAGGTTCGACTCTGATGGGCGTAACGCGAGCAAAATGGCTGACATTACGGTGAGAATCGACAATGTCAAGTGACAGTCGGTAGCGAAATACTGTCAAGTAGACGATTCGATAGCTCCTTTCGTATACATCACACGAATATTATCTGTTGTGTTTTTTAAATTCGGCGTGATACAACTATGTTAAACGACGTATCGAAAAGATTATTGAAAAGCTCGGAATCGACTGAGGTATGTTTACAGTATTAATCACATGATTTCACGAATCTGTAAAGTTCATCGTTAAAACCCCGATAATTAACAGTGCTTTTCATTTATCGAAAATAAATAGAATGTTTACAATACGTCAATAATGGGGCACGCGATGTACCGTTTCGATATTTTTTCACTGTGCGTTCCGCGTTTCATCGTTCCTTATTTTCTATTCTACGGTTCACATACTTTCGTTACAATTTACATTCGAATTTTTCCACGTATATGCTCGTAACTTATGTTTATACTATGGTTTTATTTATTATATTTGTTGATGCACTTGTCACTCAAATAATATAACTTATACTATTTGCATCGGTCTAGAGTTTGTAGTGTACGCGATTCTTATTTCGAAACGTTCACGCCATCTGTCGCGCGTTTCTGGTACTAACAAGCGAGTATTTGAACGAAGAGCGGGAAATATAAATAAAAATATATTGTAAATGTTATCAGGCTGATGTACGCGAGGATGAGGAACAAGCGAAGAGATTTCAAGATATTATCGATCTACTTCTGGCGGCAGGCTATTTTCGAGCCAGAATAAAAGGTTTATCGAATTTTGACAAGGTGTGCAAAGATATAAACCTTGTTGGAAGAATTAAAACATTGAACAAAACGTATTAAATTAATATAACATTTAGGTGATCGGTGGGATGACCTGGTGTATAGAATCTTGTAATTACGACGTAGATGTCGATTTACTGTTTCAGGAAAATCTAACCATAGGTCAAAAAATGCAAGTACACGCGTGAAGTATTCGAAGCGTTCAAAGATTTATATATAATATTATTCTGTACGTATATTTGTAGATCTTTAACTGAGAAAATTGTGGCTGTGTTACCCAACATGAATTGTCCATACAGGATAGAACCTCATCAAATTCAGGGATTAGATTGCATTCATATTTTTCCTGTTATTCAGGTAAACAATCTACTCCCGCGATAGACAACGATTTATTACGATCAGCTAAATGGTATAAATTTTAGTGGTTAGTCAAACGATCGATGGAAACGCGAGAAGAGACGGCCGATTTCGTGCGATCGTTTGCTCTGAATCAGTTCCATAAAAAGCACACTTTCGTTGAAGATGCTGGTACTGCAAAGATTGTCAAAGACAATCTGGTACGGAACATTCAACTGGTTAAGGTAAGATCTACGTGGTATACAGAGTGTCCCAATAGAAACGGATACATTAAAAATTGTTGAGTTCATCAAAATTACGATTATTTTGCAGAAATCGTATGAACCTCGGCGTCTTTTCAAGTACAAAGACGGTGCTACCAGAGACGAGTCTATTAGATTTCTTGGTACAGTCCTAGAATACGAAGCACCTTTATACTTTTCTTCAAAATCTGTTGGGTCTCCAACAGCAGCAACTTCGGACACAGCTCAGGACAGTGATAGAAAAGAGGAATTAAAAGAAAAAGTGAGAATATATTCAGTTAGACTTACACGTTATTTATTCATATATGTACATCGAATGTAGAGGTATAAAAAATTAGAATTGAATTTATTATAAAATAAAATCCCCTTTTCACGCGTTGCACAGGATCCCCCATTGCAGGTCAGTCTTATTAAGATTACTGTTTTGTGATTTGAGTGTTTTTTATCTAAATATAGTTATATGTTTATGGTTTAGTTAAAATATGTTTCACGTTTCCATAGGAAAATACAGAACAATTGGCTGAAAACCTGGCAGCTATCGAAGAAAGTTCGGTAGGTTGTTATACGGATAAATATTAATTACTACTAATTACGTATTTATTATTCATTATCTACGCAGACTCGTTTAAGTATCAAAGCGGTAGGGAACATTGTTGGGATCCAAGCTCAAGAGATCGCCAAAGTGGCTGAGGAATATACGATGTCGACTTCCGAGATGGAGGTAAATTTCATTTCAACAAAACAAATATCAGGTCAGTCTATAATAAGTTCGTGCGCATTTGGGTCCTTATTTACATCGTAGTCTTTAAAATGTTAGGATATTCTGTATTAGTACGTACTGTAGCGTGACAAAGAATTTAAACAGTGTTCATAGCGAAATGATATTAGGTGTACAAATGAATAATCCAATTTTTTCAGCCACATTCAATGTTTATTTTAAAGGAAAGGAAAAATCACCGCTTTCAAACCGCTTAAACCAAAACATGCACACATCATACGATACAACACCTTCACCCGAGAAAGGAACAAATCGATTCGCATGCTCTTACAGCATTTTTCCCTTGTTGGAATTCGTAAGGAATGCAGCAGTGTCGGATACGCACCTTATCTGTTGCCATTTTCGACTCTACTGAATTGAATACTTTTGAAGGTTATGTTGAGCCTTTCGCTAAACTATCGTTTGTTTTTCTTTGTACGTGGGGAAATCCTCATGGACACCTGTGGGCTCGCTCGAAGGGATGACCCACGGGTAGTGCCGGACTCTTACCGGCTAAAACCCCACGGTGACCATACCCAGGCGCCTGGCGAGGGACCGGGAACTCTAGTGAGACATCACAGAGTCCCCCGCCGCACCGTGCCTTTTCAGGCCCCTCCTGGTGAGAGGTACACCTTCCACCGCATTCCCACTCAACCGCAAGCGCCTGGTCACCAGCGCCTGCGGCCCCGTGACATGGCCACGTTGGTCACAGCCAATTGGCCAACCTGCAGCCTTGGGTGAAACCCGCGGCAAGTATCCCATGCCCCAGTCCACTCATACACACATTCGCACACGCAACATATTCATACCGGTGTTTGGTCCGCGGGAGCTTTCGCTCCACCTCCGGGATCTCATGCGAGGATGCGACCACGAGCCTTCTCAGGTTGATGACCTCATCCCCGCATCCCATCCCAGTGGCTACCCCTATCCGCCACGTAGGGGTTCACCTCCCCCTGCCGCCTGGACAACCAAACGGGTGCGTGGATCTTTTGTTTTAACTAACTACATGTCAACACTATATGACCGCAAAAGAGCGTGAAAATCTATTGACTTTAAACTTGATTTTATAACTGCTTAAGATAATCTGGATTATTCATTTGTACACCTAATATATATGTTACAGTGAAACACCGAAATCTGGAGAATGTCGACTTTCACCGGTGAATGTCAACATTCACATAGTCGCTTAGTGTATGTCCGAAATATTTGCTAAACACCGGTAAATGTTGACATTCACCATGCACTAATGGTGAGTGTTGAACATGTTGGAGATTTATATTTTCTTCTCCGTAATTCAGTCGCTATAAAACGTCACAAGGGTGACGTAACATTTTCGCCTCTCTTTCTGAAAGGATCTAACCCAGACCTAACCCAGACCTAACCCAGACCTAACACAGACCTAACCCAGATCTAGTCTAGATCTAATCCAGACCTAACCCAGACCTAACCCAGACCTAACCCAGACCTGGTATACAATAACATTCTTATGAAATAATTTTATATGACTCAAAAATCCTATTTAATAATAGAGTGGTCTGGGTTAGGTCTGGGTTAGGTCTGGATTAGATCTAGATTAGATCTGGGTTAGGTCTGGATTAGATCTAGACTAGATCTGGGTTAGGTCTGTGTTAGGTCTGGGTTAGGTCTGGGTTAGGTCTGGATTAGATCTAGATTAGATCTGGGTTAGGTCTGGATTAGATCTAGACTAGATCTGGGTTAGGTCTGGGTTAGATCCTTTCAGAAAGAGAGGCGAAAATGTTACGTCACCCTTGTGACGTTTTATAGCGACTGAATTACGGAGAAGAAAATATAAATCTCCAACATGTTCAACACTCGCCATTAGTGCATGGTGAATGTCAACATTTACCGGTGTAAGTCAGAAATAAGGGTGTTTAGCAAATATTTCGGACATACACTAAGCGACTATGTGAATGTTGACATTCACCGGTGAAAGTCGACATTCTCTAGATTTCGGTGTTTCACTGTAACATATATATAAAAAAAAAGAAGAAATAAACGAAGTCCAAAACGTATTTTCTGATTCCTGCAACACACGTGTTGTAAAACGCGAATGAGCTTATGGACTGATCTGTTATATCGTTAAATATTGCATAGGCTACAGCTATTTTTGAGTATTAGGCGCAGAGAGAAATAAATCCATCCATGGCTTGGATTGTTCAGTTGTTAAAGCTATCGGATCCAGATTCGGCAGTTCGACCAAGTCCGTCCTTTTCCTTCGTACAATTGCAAACTGCAGATTTAACTTTAATCGGTGCTTAATCGCAGGAAAGTGGCAGCATAAACACTACAGCGTTGACCGCGTTGCAGAAGCAAAAGGCGGCGCTCCAAAATCGAACGCGAAAATTGACAAAAGAGAGAGACAGCTTGTCTGCCAAGGTTTCAGAATTGACAGATAAAACGAACGAATCTCGTGCGAAACGACACAATATCGAGCGTTCGTTAAAAAAAGCGGAAGAAATGGGAATCAATGAAAACGATAGGTACTTATCCTTTAATTTGAGATTTGATTTTTAAGAAAATCATACGCCACTCTTGTGCAGATAATGTAAATAATAATCTTTGAGTAATATTATTAGCATTGGTGTCTCCACATGTTTTGATAGGGAATAACTTGACAAAGCAATTGTCAAAAATTTTCTCGAAAATCAAGATTTGTTCGATGAAAATGTATTTAACTAGAAGTTGAAGAGAGTTTCCATTTCTGTTGTTTCTTCAGCGTTTACAAGCGTTTGGAAGAGCTGCTTTTGGTGCACGACGGTTTGAAGGAGCAAGAGCACAATTTTCGAGAACAATGTAACTCGGATTTGAATCTTTTGCGTGGCAAACTTCAAGAAATCAAGAGCGGCACCTCCGAGGAGGCAGAAGACCGTGCGAAGGAGTACGCGAAACAAACAGAAGCAGTTACGAAAGCGAGATTACAATTGGCCACGCAGAGTAGAGCAACTGCTTACTGGGTCAGACAATTGGACGATGTTCCAGGACGCTCTGAACTTGCGCAATATCAAAAACGATTTATGGAACTGTACAATCAAGGTTCGTCGATTTATTTTTAATCCTCGATACTCGCTGAATCATTCCGCTAATAATTTTTTTCTTATCGTTTATATTGCAGTTTCGGCTAAGCATAAAGAAACAAAACAATATTACACGTTGTACAATACTCTCGACGATACGAAGCTGTACTTGAGCAAGGAGTTATCGTTATTAAATTCTATCCAAGATAATTATAACAGGTAAGCGTTTCATCAATTTTGTATTTATCATCGTTTATTGATAATAACTATACTTTTATCAGAGCAATGGCATCGACGAGCGGTAAGGAACAATTCTTGAGACAATTCGAAGCGATCGTTGCGGGCGTGAAAAGCAACAAAGCGAAGGTAACGAATATTTAATCGATAATATACGAATAATATTACTGATATTCTTTTTATATAACTAAATGAGGAGAAAACGTCGAAAACTGTTACGAAATATTGTTTCATTTTGAATTAATTAATTTCTGGAACAACAAGCACGCAAATTATTGCTGCGTTTCGATAAGAGGATCGTGTGTTCCCATAGGTGGAGAAACGATGCGCCGATGAGAAAAACAGGAGGGATGCTCTTAGTCGACAACTCGCCACTCTGATAGAACAACAACGCAAATACGTTGCCGCGGTCAGGCAACTCACTATTGAATGTCGCAAAAATGAGGCCTTGCTCGCGCAACTGCGTGGTCCGTAAATAACAGACTTCTCTTCGCTTATCTCGAGACACATGGAATCCATATATTCTTGTTGCAATTACTCATTCCGTCAAAGAACTTGAATACTACGTTAACACTTAGCCGACGGGCATTGATGAGTGTTCCTACTTTCGTTGCAGCTAGCAAAAAATGATCGCACAAATAACGGGGCTTGCACCGAAATTGTTGTAATTGTTATATTATTGAATAAATTAACAAGTGTGCGTGTTAAAATAAAATAAGAAAAGGGTACAATCTTAGAAGCAAATTATAAATTTGTGCTGCACGTCATAATACTTTTTTTAAATTCTTTATTTATGGCGAGGAAAATATAATATAGATCAAGACACTTTGTGGTATCAAAACATTGGTGGGTATATTTTCTAGGATCTGTGTCGCTTTTTAGAAACAACTCTTCCATGCAGATTAATAATACTGTCGATCTATATCCCTCCCTCCCCTGTTCTAAAACCCTATTTTAACTTTTGTTACTATGCTTGTGTGAATTTACGTTATGTGTACACGCCCCATGTTTGTACAATATGGCGCGTGAAGTGTGACGAGTTGTCACCGTATGAAGGTTTTCTACCATGAATTACAATGAAAATTTGCAACGCGTGACGTCATAATTTTTGACCTTGAGAAAAGTTAACCTTGAATTTCAAGGTATTTATCGATCTTAATGTACAGATCATCTGTTAAAATTACTTAAAAAAATAGTTTGTTTAAACATGCCCATGAAAATGTAATTTCTATGAGTCCCGTCGGCTGTGTTAACATATCAAAGAAATAATAGAGGATGCATCGTACGAACAATGCAATTTCGATCAACGTTTAGGCCAAATTTGTAAGGAGCAAGCGACACAGCGGTAGCTTCTATTTATATTCTTATTGTATAAAGGGTGTCACGCACAAAGTACCGCGAGCTATTTTCCTTGAGATTTCCGATTATAGCGATAAGATTCTTTTTTTGGTAATCTAAGAAACAATAGAACTCTTATGTTGTATCACTGATTCATCAACATCAAAGTACAAACACAGTTATAGAATATTACGAAAAACATCTTTCGTTACGAAATTTATAAAACGATTATCTTTTTTTATTTTGTTCGTATTTCTACAATTGCGTAAAATACTTTCTCACAAGTATTAAATAAAGAATTTCATAATTATCTTGGACAATCTCAAAGAAACCTGTGGCAGTTGATGTATTGACACCCTGTATATCAATAGTACATACATACATATATACCAAACGTTCCTGTTTTTCAGATTCATACTCGCGAGGGTAACTTGGATTGACAAAATTAAAAAAACGAAGCTTGAAAATGAGATTGTTCCTTGTTAAAATGTATATTTTGTAACAAAATTTCGCATAAACCCTCTAAAAATATGGCTTGTTCACTCACCTCCCTCCTTATCGAGTTTGTTTTTGTCCCCGTGCAAGTATTAATTTTGTGTGGTTCGACAGATTAGTGAAAAGAATCAATTTGTCCAAGTTCGAAGTTCAAAGGATGCCAAAAAATAGTTTGACGCAATAATTGTAGCTATACCACTTTAAAATAGTCAACTGTAAGTCACATGATGCGATTCGTCTTTGCATAAAGTATAGATCAACGCATAATATATGCACACCTTGGGATAGCAATTTTAGCCCGATAATAGATTGCTACTTGTCGCTTGTCTGTTTTCCCTTTCATGCACTGCACAGTTGGTGTTTTCCTCGTTACTCCGCCAGTTGATCAGAGCCCTCTTTGTTAGTAACTTTATATTAGTTATCGCCATTGTTCCTTTTACAGTGCTTATGTGTTCGCGTGTTTTCTCCGTCTTTTCGAAGATCTATCGTAGCCATTCTCCGTGGTACTGTGATCAGTGATCCGTTTGTTAACGTTTCTTAGAATGTAGCGAAGATCCAACGCGACGCTCTCTAAAGATACGTAATATGATAATCGTAACGGGCGAAAGAACCATCCATTTGTGCTTGTTCCTTTCAAACTAAAGGAACATGTGCTATCTATACAGTGGCTATTAATGTGATACTCTTATGAAAAAATTATTGCGTGTAAGATGGCAAAAGACGAAGGGGACGATCTCCTACCAGACAAAGACGCGGCAAAAGGATTCTACGCGAAATATGAACCCAAAGAAATCCTTGGAAGGTTCGTCACGTGATATTTGAAAAAAGATAATAACAACATAGCATACTATTTTTATTTGTTCAGCAAGCACGCGTAGTATGATAGATATGTTTCTGTTTATATTATTAGACTCTGGTGTATTGCAATTACAATAAACGAACTGTGGGATTTGCCGCCTCGAACGAACAAGTTAACCTGTTCAATTATATAATTCAATAAAGTTAAACGCATCGTATCCAACGACACTTTGTTTTCTAGTCTAATCAAAATTAGAAAACCCGTTCAAAATCATGGTTCAAGTTTTAGACAGACTATTTGCAACATTGACGAAACGCTGTACGAAAACGAAAGGTTCATTGTGTCAAACAATTACGTCTCGATATACCATTTTACGAAATGCATTCAATTCTTTGTATAAATCGATTAAGGCGCAGCAAACGATATATTAGTATCGAAATTCTTGACAAAATAAAAAGGAACATACACAAATGCACCCGTATATGTCACTTACAGTTTTAAAGATGTTTATTTATACAGCACTGACGTTAATACGAGACAAAAAGATAATAATACTGTATATAAGTAAATACGAAATATATTCTGTTGTTCCGAAGTTTTTTTTAAAAATATTCTTTATCCTTTTATAATCAATTTTAAAGTAATGTTTCTCAAGATAAATGAAATGTAATATTATTTATAGAGGAATATCTTCCACTGTTAGAAGATGTATAGAAAAAGAAACAGGCATAGAATATGCAGCTAAAATCATTGATATTAGTAATGAAACTAATGATGATGGTAATACTATGAAAGATGCTACATTACAAGAGGTGCATATTCTTCGTAGAGTAGCTGGTCATCCCTATATTAGTAAGTTTCCAATCATATAAATGCAAAGAAAATAGTTTCCATAGCATTTTTGTCGCTTATAATCGATGATTTTTATTTTTTCCAGTTGAATTGCACGATGTCTTTGAGTCTAGTACATTCATTTTTCTAATTTTTGAAATTTGTAAAAATGGAGAGTTATTCGACTACCTCACATCAGTTGTTACTCTTTCCGAGAAAAAAACACGTTACATCATGAGACAAGTGTTTGAAGGAGTCCTACATATACATAATCAAGGAATAGTACATAGAGATTTGAAACCAGAAAATATATTACTGGATGATAATTTAAATGTGAAAATAACAGATTTTGGTTTCGCCAGAGTATTAAAAGGAGAGGACAAATTATATGGTTTGTAATTATTTTATAAAACCTAGTTTACAATGCATTCGCATAATCAATAAGAATGTCTAATTTTGATTAGTAACTTTCTGTTGTAGATCTCTGTGGTACTCCTGGATACTTGGCACCAGAGGTGCTGAAGTGCAATATGTTTGAAAATGCAGAAGGCTATAGATACGAAGTTGACATGTAAGCCAATTTGATTTAGTATAGATCCATTGTTTAGATATTTGTACAATTAAACACAGTAATACAAGAATTTTTCTGTTTTTTTTTCTCACATTTTTCAGATGGGCCTGTGGAGTAATTATGTTTACATTGTTAGTTGGTTGTCCTCCATTTTGGCATAGAAAACAGATGGTCATGCTTAGAAATATTATGGAGGGGAAGTACTCTTTTACATCCCCAGAATGGGCAGACATAACAGGTAATTTTTATTTATTATTATTATATGTTTCTCGGGAGAATCTGATCGACGACGACGGGAAATTTTATATTTTTGACACACATTCCCTCTCTCCTCCAAATCTTACGTCGATGGTTAAATATTAGTTTGAAAATATAGTAATTGTTTTACTTCGAGAAGTTTTAACAAAGGAATTAATATCCGCTCGAAAACTACAAATATACTTTACAAATGTTTACAACGCGCGGAGCGTATTTCTAACGTTATAAGATTGCCTATTGTAAATATTTTCGGTATAAGTTCGTTATTTTATGGCTTTTTAATGTACTTTTAAATTGGTGTAATGATTTGACTTTGATTTGATTTCCAGAAGCCCCAAAAGATCTGATAAGAAAGTTACTAGTCATTGAGCCCAAGAAGAGAATTCCTATTAAGGAAGCATTAGATCATTCGTTTTTCCATACAGTGGTAAGTCTTTCATTATTATACAATTTGTATCACAATATGTAAAATAGAAAACAACAGTTCTCAAACATTTATCACTTCGTAGAAAATTATAGTTAATTAAGTTTACATTTTTATTTGTTTGCTTTATGTGTTCAACACTATATATATATTCATAGCAGAACGCACTTGCTTAACCACTCTCGTAAACGGAGTACCGAGTATCATTTTTCGAACTTACGTTTAGTCAGATTTATAAAGTGTATTAATTTGGAAGCGGTTTTTATAAAGGAACAAAACCGATAATATCAATATAAATAGAAAATTACTGGAATTACAGCTGTGGGATCAAGACATCGCTCCACTAAAACGTTCACTATCAACTAATTCTCGGCGTCTGAGTAGGATATCTCAGTTAGCTTTGGTAAATTATTTTTGTTTTTATTTTGTTTGCTGTTAAGTGTGAATTCGCTTGATTATAGTTTTTACATAATATATAACAATTAACAGTTTAGTTTTGATTAATATTTGAAATTGATTAAAAGTATACATAAAACGTATATATTTAGTTGGTTTTGTAATTTCGTTCAGTGCTCTATAGTATACTGAAGTATATTACATCGGAACATTTACACAAAAAAGTAAGGAGCAAAGCATAAAAACTTGTTAATATCGGTTATAATTATGGATAACTGATTTATAACAAATAATATATTTTTTAAAAAAACATCACATTTTGGCTTAAAGCATGATAAAGATTTATCAAAGCATGGACATGAATCATTGGGAATGAATCGATAATATGAATGGGAATATTAATACTACTCTTGCATGATAAAATAAAGAATTTAAAGCATACAGTGTTTTGAAATTTTTATGTGTACATATATGTATATACACATTTTAATTTGTCACTAATTGTCTATACTTTTCGCGTAACCGTTGTCAAGATAATTTTTAAACAACAGTCACATTGCAAAAATCTAAATTAATCCACTGTTTTAGTATGCATATCATTACTAACATTACTCTCTTACTTTACACAACACATATTTGTTGTTGTTTAATGAGATTTTTATTACAGGAAACTGCTTAATAAACATTGAAATCTCATATTATTTAAATATTTTCCCGTTGTTATCTTAGTTTATATTTTGTACAGGAATTAAAGGCAAAATCATTTAACGCACGAAAAAGATTCCAATTAGCTATCATTTGTGTTCGTGCGGTTGTCCGTATTAAACGGCTCCATACAACACCCGAGCCTCTTTCGACCCATGTGGCATGCACTGATCCTTACAGGATTAAAATTTTACGAAAGGTACTGTTTCGTATTTCTTTTGACAAATATATAAAAAATATATATTATAAAATGAAATTAATTTTTATGTTAATTACGTAAAAAGCTTTATATAATTTATAAATTAATTTATAAATTAAATAAAGTTAGTTGATTGAATCGTAAGTTATACAAAGTAATATCTTGTATAACTTTTATAGGTCGTCGATGGTTGTGCATTCAGAGTTTATGGTCATTGGGTAAAAAAGGGAGAAGGACAAAATCGAGCCGCGTTATTTGAAAACACACCAAAGACAGAACTGAAGCACCTTTATGTTAGTAATTTGAGCAGATAACCAATGTTTTAATAAAACATTGTTTAGTTAAAATTATTAATTCTTTAGTTAGTCGACATTTACAGTATCTAAACAAAATATTCAGTAAGAAAACAGTAAAAAAATAAGTAACTTGCCAAAAGGTAGGTGTCAATACTTTCTCTTGGTTCTGTTTAAATCTGCCGTAAAATTAGGTAAACGTCGTCACGTGTTAATTGTCTTTAGATATTGTAAAATAATGGAAGACGTTAATTGGATTGTTGAATTTCCAAATTTTTTTATGTAAGAATGGATTTACATATTTATTGTTTCTATAGGCCTGTTATATGGTCTTATTCGTTATTTAAAAGTGTAGTGCTGCTCAATAAATAGAAATGATAAACTTCTCAAACAAAAAAAGAAAATATTAAGAAATGTGAAAAATTATGTTAGTGATATGCTACAAACCTTTAGCATCACACTTTTGGAGTGTGTTTTGTGTTTAGATAAAGTATTATATTCAAAACAGTTTGTGAAACTATTTTTTGAATATTCTATCTTAAATTAATAATAATTTTTTCTTTACAGTATTTACTGCTCTTTTCATAGCACAATATAACATAAAACAACTTATTTTCAAATAAAAAAAAATAAGTTTGAGAACAAATTTCCTCGTGTGCTAAAAAAGGAATTAAGACTTTTAAAATAATTATATGTTGAATGTAGATAAAGGTGCTTATGCGTACAAACATAAAAATACAGTATATGCATAAAGAATTACCGTTTTGTTCCATGACTATATTTCTTATGTTTGTACATTTCTATAAAATATATCCAGTAGCCACATAAATAAGAGTTACATAATTTACTACAAATCAGCAACACATACAAAATTAAATTTTTACTAATACTTTTACTGTAATATATTGTTAAATTATATTTTGTACAACATTAATAATAATAAGTGAGCATTAAGTACAGCAATAATTATGATAGTAATTCATATGAAATTCCATTTTAATACAAAACAAGTTTAAATTAAAAGTAAACAGTAAAAGGTTTAGAAAAGTTTATAGGAAAATTAAAAATACGAATTATGCGTAATTCCAAATTTATTCAAATTCCTAATGAAATAATGTATTCCATAGTAATATTATTTACTAAGATCTGCATGTAGATTATAGTATATAATATTTTGTGCAAATTCTAGTCATATTTTATACTGCTGAATTTGTTTTAGATTATAAATTATAAAAAAAATGTGTGAAGTTTAATTAATGTAAAAAAAAAAATTAGGGATTGTCACCTAATTTTCAATAATTTGTAGCAAATTGCACTAAATTAAAATTGATATTATCATTTAAAAGGTTACAAAGAACAAATCTGGAAAATCATATTAATACATGTACCTATAGTGATACATATTTTGTGTAAAATGTATATTTTGAAGTAAAATATTTTTGCAAATGTAATAAATTATATTTTTATTCCTCTCTTTAAAAAAGTGATTTTTACTCTTTACACATAGTTAAATTTTATTATCTACAGTAAAGGCGATTATATTTTGTATATTTGTAGTAGATTTGAATTCATACTAAGGGTATATAATGTGTATGTGCATAAATGTACTTGTGTAATTACACATTACAGCTTGTGTAATGTGTTACTTATGGGATATATCTACATAATAATAATATACTTTTTGAAAAAAGTGAAACCTGAATTCAATCATTATAAAGAACTTATAAATCGTTTAACCCCCACCATTAACTTCCTACTTTAAGTTTTTAAGCACTATACAGGGTGTTCGGCCATCCCTGGAAAAATTTTAATGGAAGATTCTACAGGTTAAAATAAGACGAAAATCAAGAATATCAATTTGTTGTTTGATGCTTCGTTAAAATGTTATTAAAAAATTAAATTGAAAAGTTTCAAATCATCCTGGAAAAAATTATTTTCGGTTGTACGGGTCAGTTACAATCATATTTGGTGAATTCACATACCCCTGAAATCCTACTCACTTTCGACAAAAAAATTCAGTACGGGCGGAACTTTAAACGTTAATAACTTTTTAACGAAATCTCCATCAACAAATTGGTATTTTTGATTTTCGTCTTATTTTGGCATCTAGAATCCCCCATTAAAATTTTTCCCAGGGATGGCCGAATACCCTGTATACTTTAATTTTTTGTAACATGTCCCATTCTGTACGATTTTTTTTTTTAAATTATTTTATTTCAACATGCTTGGGATATTTAAACCCCATGTGTACAATTTAAAAATTAATAATAAGTGCATGACGTAATATTCAAAATATCTACGTCAATTTGATATATTTTTGTTTTAACTTGAACAAATTTAACAAGCAAATCATTTAAAATACGTTACAGAAAAATTAATTTTGTTCAAATAAGAACGTTTAAATTCTATAGTAATATTTTTTATCGGTGTACCTTTTAAACAAACGAAATAACCTAGGTACGTATTCGATGACTCTTCAAAAATACTGGAACGCGTTATTCCGAATGTCACTTGGTCGAAGAACACGATACGCACATTTTATTCTATCGATAAAAGATGGAGATTTACGGGAACGCGTGTTTTATTAAAATCGAAACAAATTAATAAGAAATTAACGCGATTAGTTTTCGAAAAAGTGACGGTACATAGTTTTGGCGCGCGCGCAAAGGTAAACAATGAACTGTATGCTTCGATACCGTAGAAGTGGCAACAGCGTACAGCCCGATCCATGTGACAGAGAAGGAACGTGACAAAAGGTGGCAGAGGGTGACGCCGCCGAGATCGGAGTGAGTGTTTGCCCGGGCGAGCCGGGTGTCGGGTGTGCTGTGTACGATTGTCGCGATATTCGTCCGTTCTGGCGTCCACCGGAAGGTAAGCCTGCTCGTAAAGGATATCGGCTGGCTCCGAAATCTCGTTTCGACATGTTTTTCGCGATGATACCGAAGGAAATTTAAGAAAATTACGAAAAAAGTGCACCGACTAACGAGCAATATACAGCAGCTCGACACTTCTCTTACACGCCCAGCGGAGTGCTGCGTCACATGGGCTGCGTTCATTGGTCGATACAGCCAGGTGACGTCATGAGCCGCGCTTTGATTGGTCTATACCTCGGACCCCAGACACGTGAATCGTGGCCAAGCAAGCATGGCTGTTGATGCGCAGTGGTTAGCACTTGTAAAATGTTTCTGCCACGCGCTAGATCGATCAGGTTATAATCGTCGTGTGCTGTGAAACGTCGTGAGATCGTCTACTGTTCGAAAACTTACGAGTGCCTCGTGATTTTCCGCATGTGTCGCATGTTTGACAGCGGAAATACCGCAGAAATTCTCGCAAGAAATTGATTTCTACCGTGAAAGTGGGTTCCAGCGTGTTTCCATTGTGACCGAAATACAGTCGCAGAGTACCTGTAAGTTTCTGGTTATTTTCTATGCATTTCTGGTGTTACCACACCCGTTTAAAAGCCTTCGTGGAACATTATCTCGTCAGGACTATCGCCTATTTAATTAACATGTGTATAGGTGGTTGCGTGGCGTGTTTTCCGTGCCATAATAGACCCAGCCAATCGCACGGTACTTCAACTCATGACGTCACGTTATCGCAAGTTCCTATTGGTCAACGGTGCGTGTGTCGCCCGTCTAACGTGTGTGTCGCTTTGTCAGTCTGAGGAGCTCGTTTGGTGTATGGCACGCTTCTTGACTTTTCGTACTCTTCTAAGCAGCCTCTCCTTTACCAACTCGACGTAGTGCATCGTTTTTCTTTCCCATTTTTGCATGGTTGCGCGTACACGAAATGCAATTGTACCTCTGCGTGATCGTGGTACGCTTTCGCGATTACGCTGCCCGGGATATATCTACTTTTCAAATCAGCGGCGGAACCTCGTTTCTCTGCTTCGCCTTTCCCGCCTCTGTCCCGTGAACCTTGTTTCTTCGGTGACTGATTTCTCGGACTGCGCAGCTGATATTCTATACACTGTACGTGCTTGTATTCGCGAACACGCTCTTGCGCGTACGAACGCCACGTAACGACTCTCGTTCCTGCTTTCGATGCTACATCACGAGAACAGTTAAACTAATCTGACTCGCCTAAATGCAACGATGCCTTATAAAACGAGTACGTACATCATTTTCGTAACTTGGAATCACTTTTTCTTTTGTCAGTCGAAGCTCCTAAATTGACAAAATATAATTGTTTTGAATTTTCATTTTATAATTTTTTCGAATCTTTGTTAATTTTATGAAGTCAGATTTTATTTTGACACATGTAAATACATTGATTTGTTTTGATAATCGTTTAGGGCATAGATATTCAAAATCGATTCTAACTTTCGCATCGTATACAAAATTAAGAAAGCAGTGTTTGGCTTTTCCCCTCGCATAAACTTTATTATATTTCACACATTATTCGATGAAAGTTAGCGATGCAATCTTAAATCGAATTGTTCGGAATAAAATAATTTTTGGAGGAGCGTATTCGTGATTTAATTCGGTAATGCAAGTGCTAAACATGCTGCATAAACAATATTCGCACGTTCTGCGTGTTATCTTCTTTTTTGACTCTTAGATTGTTTCCAGCGAACGGAACTCAAGATGCGTGCTAATGCTCTGCGCTTCATGAAAGCGCACGTTGCGCTTGCGCATCTTCACCGTGTGGTATTACGAAGACGGTACGTGGGAGGGGATAAAGCTTCCCGCGCGAGTGCGTTGCGTCACGCGTACGTCACGTGACGTATCTCAGACACCGGTCGTGTCGTACCGTCTGCAACTCTGTTCAAACAAGCTAATAATATTGTCAATCAACAAAGTTTCGAACGTTAAAAGAGCAATCATGTAGCCGGCAATCGTGTAGTACGTTATCGAACAATCCGCGACTGTGCATCTAGGAGTAAAACGAACCGTGACATGCGTAAGTTTTTCACGGGCACAGCAGTTGTACTTTTCGTGACGTCGATCGAAACAAATTCGATTAATCGATTTTCGTCCGCTAGCCTCCCCTCCTTTTGTGCATCGAGTAATTTTCGGTGCGGTGAGAGAAGTACAAGTGAGAAAATTAACGTGATTATTTCCATTATTACGGCCTTTCTTCGCGCGTTTGTCAAGGTCGACGGATCGCTAATTCTCCCTATTTCTTTGCCCGACAATGACATCGTGGTCTGGTGCACTTTCGGTCTAACGAGATCGTTCTTTTTATTTTTCGTGCGCAGATTGCCACCCGCGGCTGGCAGCAGCAGAAAAAGAGGAGGGTTGAGACACGAGAACGGGCTCTCGACTTCTTCGTCCTCGCGAGCCGGCGACGGGAATCGACGGTCCGATCGCAGAGTCTCAATCTCCCGAAGGATCGTAAAGAAGAACAGAGCTCGTCGTGGATCGAATCGGCAACGTCAGGATGAGCCTGGAAACGTTGCTGGAAGCAGCGCGGTTTGTCGAACAGCAGGAGAAGAAGAGGGAGCGCCTTGCAAGCAGCTCTTCCTCCTCCTCCGATCATCCGCTAGTCGTTGTTCCCCACTCCAACCATTACAACTCCAACGAGCCACGTGGTGAGTACCACGCGCCACTTTTCGGCGACCGTTCGCTTATACGCGTTGTTGATCATTCTACGCGAAATCGGACACTTTTTGGAGTAATATTTCGAATTTTGCTGAAACGGAAATTTGGTATAGTCTTAACGATATGTGATAGTGTCTCCAAGTATTTTAAACAATTTTGAAAATTATTTATTTTACCGGTGTGTAAAAACTGGTGTTATTTTTCACCCCTTTAAAATATAGAATGTTGCAAAATCCTTGCAATTTTTTAACAACAGTTGAAAATATTAGTTAAAAATTCGTACTTTGTACTGTTCATTTGTATGTAAACTTGGTTTTTATTTATTTCCTCGATGGGCAAGAAAACTGTTTTAACCACGAATCGTAATAAACTAATCATCAATAATATTTCTTAAAATATTATTTGTCCAACG